CTGTCGCGTACGAAACAAAGGCGTCGAACAGCTTTTGAAGAAACGAAAGAGCAATTGATTTACAATGAAACGGTGGCGCCTTTCTCTCACCCCTCTCCCTCTCTTCCCCCCTAAATGCTCTAAATCAACTCGAAAAATTCCAATTCGAAGTTAGTGCCGTCGTAAAACGGGCGACAACGTTCGCCGGTTTCACGACGTGATTTACGAAGGGCGAGGAGGGAAAAAAATTTTTCGCCCGCGCCTCGCCGAGGGCGTTCCGAGCCCTTAATTGCTTGGATAAACGCGCTGCCCACCAGCTTTCCAAAACGACTAGTTTTTCAAAACGAGGGGTGACATCGTTAATTTGACAGAAGAGAGAAAGCAGTAATTTTACGTGTTATTTTTTCTGCGACGACTGTATCCAGCGAAAATTGGGGAAAATTTAATAATTGAAGTTACTTCGATAATTTGTTGTTCAACACGTGATAACAATCAGAAATAAGTGTTAAATGCCAAACGAGATCGTATGAAAAGCGGATCAACTATAACAGCTACGAATAAATGTTAATCAAACATTTCAATAAGCAATCGATTGAAGTAACTTTCTTATTCGAAATTTTTAACTAGTTACTTTTCCAACCAAAGTTAATAATTCTGATTATACCTTTAGAAACTTTTTCTGCATTGATTCCTTTGCGATTTTTCTATTTTTATAGAACATATTTTTTTCGTTATAATTTAGATTCTGAAAATCATCAAGTTACGATAATAAAATGTCAAATAATCGTTCGAAATAATCGTATTAAAAATAAATCTTTGGATTGTTAAGATATTAATATTATTTCGCTGAACGTTGGTATAATACGTACAAGGTATAGTCGAGTTTCCTAGAAGAGTACGGTACGGAGTGGGGAGAAATGGTTATAAATTTCATTTTCTCGAGAATTTGTCAGAGTAACATATTGGCGGGATACCTAGCCTCTGGAGAGGTAAGGTCGATGGCTAAACGTTCAATGGCGATCCTCCTGGTTACCACCTGTCCCTCCTCCCGAGGGACGCGTTTCGTTTTAAGAATCTTCTTTCTCCTTCCCCCCCCCCTCCCTCCCTCCCTTCTCCTCCCGGCAGCCGGTGTGGCGTGGAAAGCCAGCGCTAATGTCCCTCCGATGACAATAAAAATTTGTCGCCAGCATATTTGACGCGAAAACTGGCTTTCAAACCGTTCTCCTTGGAACCAGAACAAAGAGACGGCCTAAATTTTCCGCTTTGTCGCCCCTGTTGGCTGCTCGAACGACATTTCTCGCCCCGAGGAAGAATGATTCTCGTCGAGGGACGCAAGGTGTTTCTCAAAGATAATCCTTAACGCGCTACGAAAATTGAAATTAGGCGGTGCTTGTCGTTGTTAACTCGATCAGAAAATTGAAAGAAGAAAATATTCACGATATGGACGAATGTTCGAATGGTTTAAATGGTTATTTCGGACAAGAAAAATTGTTGAAACAATATTTGAGAAAAATATTTCCTTTGTACGTGCACGCGAGAGGATTAAAGGCAGAGAAAGCGAGCTGGCCGAAACGGGGCGTAATATTTTTCCAAGACAGATAAGCCCACAGCTTAACTTCACGCGCCCCCGACGTTTCACAATCCGATAGGCAAACTTCTTTTGTTATACACCGTTTCCCTTCGAACGCATTAGCACTTTTACCATTGTGAATCCCTAAATACCGTTAGCAATACAGTTATAATTTTCCATCGTATTTAATATTACCGTACCTGAAATTCTAGGAAAAATCGACAATGCATGTTGCATCTGTTATTCGCATCATGTTCGAATTTTTTTTTCTTTTTTTTTTTATAGATATATACACGTAAAAGGAAATAATTTCTTAAGGAAACTCGACGAAAGAGATACATCGGATAAGATCTAAATCTTGACCATAGACGAGGTTCGTGCGCGGGTTCGATTTGAATTTCATCCGAAAGAGGGATGAACGTGGCCCGGTTCGAACGAGATCGCGCAATCTGACGGAAAATCGAGACTCACGTAATCCCTCGCGCGGTGGATTACGGGTGACAAACAACGCTCAGAAGGCGACGCGAGGAAGAAATCGTGCGGAAGATGTTACACGACGATAGTTGGTTGGTCGAAGAAGGTCGGGCCGAGATTAGGGGAAAGGAATGTTGGAGGAGACGGTCGTGGATTACCGATCCTATGAAAACATCTCGCACTTTCGAGGTTTTAGTCGAGGGAGTTTAGGGGTTGACCGAGTTTTGGCTTCAAACAAGGGATTTCAGTCCAAACAGGCGTGGACAATGATCCATTTATGCGAAAATCTTTGAAATATGTTTTCGTTTAATCCGTGTTATTATTGGTGTAATGAGATGCAAAATTGTTGTAGCTCTCGAACCTCTTTCCGTTTTTGGGAAACGAGGCTTCAAAGTTTTGATAAAGTTTTTCGCTTCTGAATATTTCTCACGTTTCTTTCATCATAGAAGAAACCCATCGTAAACTTTTGACGTTTCCATTACGACAAGGCTGAGAGGAAGATCGATTCCGAAACGTGTGTCGAATTTCCTCCACGGACGAGAGAATGATCATTCGAATGATCATTCGAGAATTCCCTCGAGAATTCTCCCCTGATCTGTGCGGTGCGAAACGAGCCGGAATCATGCGCGACGCGTGCCCGATGCATTTACCATGGACGATCGATCGATGATGAATATTTATATCCATTCGGTTTAATTCGATTTTGCTTCGAGTGCTAAGAGTTTTAGGAAACAGTAGGAATGCAGGGAAAAGAAATAGAAGCAGTAGAATGAATTTTATTATGACTTTTCCAAAATTCTCGAACAATCGCGATAGATTTAAAAATAATCATTATAAATCCAATTGTTTGCGATTTTCAGTTTCGAAATTTAACCATAAAAGTAATCGTGATTTATTGCTGCGATAAACAGCAATAAATATTTATCTTTCTGTCGTAAAATCCTCGTACCATTGAATTGAATTATTTACCGCAGCTTGGAAAAGAAAATCTTTCGTTAAACCCGATTTCACGTCGATCGAAATCGAGGTGAATAGCTCAAATTTGAAATAGTAAAATGATGGAAGCGCGTCTTCGTTCGTCTGGACGAAGTGGATCTCGGCTCGGATCCAGGTGTGAGAAAAACCCGTAGCGCACAATAAAATGTCACTCTCCATTGAAGGAGAGAGCGCCACCCCTAAACGCTGCCTAGATGAATGGCTCCTCTATTCGTTGGGCCTTTTTCTATTGGCGTACGAGCACAAACGAAGGAGCGCGGATCACCGTGTCTCACAGAGAGGTGAGCTCTCGCGCTCGCGCGAGGGATGCAACGTTTGGACCCCGTTTAACGTCATCGTATATTTCACCCCACAATCGGCCTCCCAGACAAATACCCTTATTTGTACACATCCTGTGCATTGTGACGCGTGTATCGCGGGGCACCCAGGGAGAGCACGAACGACTTCCGGTGAATACGAATTCTCTCCTTTTTTCTTTTCTCCTCCCCCTCTTCTCTCTCTCTCTCTCTCTTTCTCTCTTTCTCTCTTCTTTCTTCCTCACTGCCTCGTCTTTCTTTATCGGCCGACCTCGCGTATCCTCCTCCTCCTCGCCCGCCTCCTCTTTCTCCTCTCCTCGTTCTATTTCTTGCTCTTTTCATACCCACCGAGGTGGTGGGTGGGACCAGATCGTGTACCTGCCTGGATAAAAACCATATTGAATCGTGCCACGAGAACAGACCTCTGATAATGCGCATCCCTCGAATAATCGCGATCATCCAACACCGATTCCTTCCTCCCGCCTCCTTTTCTTCTTCTTCTTTTTCTTCCCTCTCGCAAGAAATTGGATAGGAAGAGATCTTGTTGCTCCAGGTTGCCGGCTAATTGCGGCCGAATTTTCCCGAACGGGGGGGGAGGGCTAGGACTCGAACAAGGACGCGGAAGGAAAGAAAAGTTTTGTTGTCGCGACGCTCGATGATTATCCTCCTCCGTTTTCCCTCGCGTCTAAGAGCGGAATCGTTTTTGCTTCTTCTCCTCTCGATAGCCGGAAGCGGATTCCTAATAGAGATGATTTTGGAGGGAAGGAAGTTTTCTTAGAAAACGTTTCGGTGTCGAGTTTCACCGAGTGGCGTTCGGTTACCGTATGCGCGGAAATATTTTTCGCGCGCACAACACATCGTGGCATTTTCGAAATTACGTCCCGCAGGGCGATATTACATTTTTCGACGGAAATTGCGAATAAGAGAGAAGGATATGAAAAGGAAGGCGGGAGGAGCATCGGTACGTCACAAAGACGCGATTTCACGATCGACCGAAGGCGAAATTTAATTTGTTCCGCGAGCACTCAATTTTCGGAGCAATCTTCTTCTTCTTCTTCTTCTTCTTCCCTCCCCCTCTTCTTCCTCGAACGGAGCCTCGAAAGGAGTAGGATGGCGTTTCTGGACCATACGCCGGCGGATACCATACGGCACGTGGATAATTACAGTGAAACGCAACGCGATTGTAACACGAGGGTGGCTCTCCACACCGAGATAATATTCGCCGTACGACCGATTGTGCGCACAGCGAATTTGAACCGCGCTTTATTTAATCAAGAAGAAAAAATTGTAAATTCTTCTATCAAATTTCGTACAATGCCACTAGATCCACTAGCGTTATCCATTTTTCCAATTACTAATAATAATAATAGTATGCAGGTACTTTTAAAATCAATCGATCGATAGCTTGAAACGTATTAACGGACAAGAAGAATTGTCGAATCAGATAGAAAAAGAAAAGAAAAGAAAAGAAGGAAGGAGAGATGAAAGGAAGAATCGCGACACTTTACACAGTTTGCCCTACTTTTCTGCCGGCCAAATAATTCGGGCAGAAGGATGGTGACGCGGTATGGTCGACCATATGCCGAGGGACGGTTCCAGCCCACGGATAATTACAAGGGATGCTACGCTGCCTTCGGGGGTAGGGGCGAGCTAAAATTCAATGGTGGGGCGCGTGGCTACATAAGGAAGGTACCGACCTCCGAAGGGTCGCAGTCGGCTCGAAATTTCGGTGGTATAAGAACCTATCTCTCCGCTCGGTTGTTCAACGGTGGACACGTTGCGTTCTCGTTTATTAGATTCACACGCGGATCGAATCGTTCCATCTGCGCAATTTTATAAAAACGAGTGTTCGTTTTGAGAGAGGTGAACGAAGAAAAAGTGGCACAGTGAGTGAATGTAATACAGCGCGGGATAAAAAGTGTGATTTCGAATATGGAGATTTCCTGGTTCCTTTTTTTCGTCTGGTGCACCACTCACCTGGTTACTGGATTCGATCTAGGACCGATCGTGAGGATCGCTCAGTGCAGATCGCAGTGCTTGAGGAAGCACACTTCCGATGGAACATGCGATTGGTATTCCGAGCAACAACAACAGACTACTTGTAGCGTGGTGAGTCAAATTCTAATTTAATAAAAGAGTCTCGTCGTCGCGTTGCTTTGAAACATCACGATCCGTTTTACAAAATACAATAGAAAATATATATTCTTGAAAACGTTTCTAAAAAACGAAAGAACGCATGAAAAATTCAAAGCAATAGTGAGTACAATGCACCGCGTGGCCCACGTCTCTCTCTTTCTTCTCCGTCCCATTCTCCTCCATTCTCAAATAGAACCCGGCTGCGGTACGTCACGAAATTTGGGAATAAGAACCGCGTGCGTTCACGACGCCACCGCCTTCGACGTGACCCTCTTTCCCCATAATCCGAATCGCTCGAGAGTCACGTCGTGCTCGACGATTCTCCCTACAGAATCAACATTCTTCCTCGTATTCTCCAAACGATAAACAATCTCCAACGGTGAAAACGTATCCCGGAATAACCGAGATGAGATCACGAGGCGAGAGCAGGAACGCGATTAGGCGACGACGATTCGATCGCGTGGAAATCGGATAGGGTACGGTGTATCGGCCCCGCACGGCGATAAATCTTCTCCGTCGGTTTTATGGGGTCGTCGTCGGGAAATCATGGTGGTCCCCGCACCCCCTCCCCACCTACTCCACCCCTGTTGGGTGGAGCAGACACGTCGCAGATGGACAGATGGGAATCACGATTAACTCACGCACAATGCGGCGAGCGTGCGCGTGTGTTCACAGGGCGTTGCTCATTTAGGGGTGTCCATTAATTTCACAGAAATCGATGCCCCCCCTCTCTCTTTCTCTCTCTTTCTCTCGTGCACACGCACGCACACCCACTCGTGGAGGGGTCCACTCGTGTGAATAAGAGAAGGAATACACGCGTGGAACTTTATCGAGGATCGACGAGAAGGTTTCTACTCGGATGGAGGGGCCGAGGCGGCGATGATCCATTCAAATTTATGCTCGACGAAGTTCTCGAGGATCGTTTCCACGGGCCGCATTAGAATAACGATTCTCCTCGAGAGGTGGAGGAGAAGGAGGAGGAGGAGGAGGAGCAAGCGGACGAGCGGAGGTGGCTTAATGAAGGTCGCGCGCGCGAACAACCTCTCACCCCTCGTGAGAGAATTACGCCTGGATAATGACGACCAGTCCTGCATAGGGAATGTCGTCGCACGCTTTGAACCCGCCCTTTTCGTGGACGGTAATTGTTTTACGGGGAGGGACAATCGAGCGTGAAGGGGATGATCGACGGATTGGAAACGAGGGGACAGAGAGTTTTAAATTGCCGACAGGTTCATCCCGAAATTTTGCGGCGTCCTGGGGGTCTTTGATGTTCGCGATACCCCCGCAAGCCCTTGCCTGCCCTGCCGCTTTCGTTCAAAGCGAAGGCGCGCTGACGTCGATATATTTTTCTCTCTTTTCTTTTTTCCGTGCAAATGCGAAGTAAAATTTTTCACTTGAAAATGATCGAACGACAAGAGAGTGGATAATTTTTTTTTTTTTTTTTCGAAACGTCGATAGTTTCGAAAACTTAGAAAGGTTGGATGGATCGATGAAATCGACGCGTAAATTTGTTGCATCTTTTTTCCATAAAAGAAAAAACGTATTCTGTGAAAAGAAAAAGAAGGAAAATACAAAAAATAAGTATGGGAATGAGTCGAAGATACAACGTCGATCGGCCCATCAAATTTCATCGAATGCAACGATGATCGTTCCGTTATCGAATTACGATCGGGCGAGGGTCGTAAAAGCCAGGCTCCCCTCGTTCCGGGAAATCAATGACCGAGTCGCAAAGTGATACAAACGGGATGAAAAGGATCTACGTACTCCAGCCCCGTTTCATCTTTCATCGGTTCGCATTCATTCCGCGTTTTCATTTGCGAGATAGCAGCCGCTATCCACCATCTTTACTCGTATTTGATGATACGAGCATTGCGGGGGTAGTTTCGTTCTTTTTACCATTTTTTTTTTTCCATCCTAATTCCATTCGTCTCTTTACGCTATCTCATACGAATCAATTAGAAACCATCAAACGGGGAAAAAAGACTATTTCGAGGTCGAATTATCGCGGATGCTGATGTTGCTTTTTTGGAGACGTCTTTGGAACGAAGAAAGGGGACCTACAGCGTTTCTACGAAGCAGCCAGGCTTAGAAAGAACGCATCGTGATGTAGGATAATCGAGTGTAGGGAGGGCGAAGCAAAGAAGTCTCTCTCTCTCTCTCTCTCTCCTCCCCTCTTCTCTTCTCTCTTCTTCTTTAAGAGAAGAAAAAGAAAAAAAACCGTAGGAAACGA